GAAACCAAGTATTCTTCACGTCGCTCTGAAAAGGAAACTTGCTAGTTTCAGGAGAAAGCAGGGGATTGTATTTAAATTCGTCTTTAATAAACAGTTGTGCCCACTCGCTAGCTTCAATATGCTCCTGCATGCTACCTGAAAACGCGCGCGCCATTATGGTTTTAACCGCTGTGCTTGTAGGATCGAAACCGATTGAACCAAGTAGTTCCTTAGTGAGGGAATATTTATCGTCTTTTTTAACAGATTCAGTGCTATCTTCTAAAAAGATCTCGATCCAGTCACTCAGCTTTCGATGATCACGACTTTCTCGTGGTATTTCGTCAAGCTCGGTGAGAAAATCTGGTTGAAGCCCTAGCTCGGCACAGATACGCCGATACCCCTCTCTCGTCTCGGAACTTGCGTTTCCTTCTATGGACTGGCGTGGTTCGACCTTCATTAACTTTGGTTCAGTGCAGTTAGGAATGATCATAGGGGGTTTTTCACCTTTTCCCACCATTAAACTAACTTTGTTCCCAGAGTCCGCATTCCTCCTCCCTCGAAGACGCAGACCTAAGAAATCGCCATAAATATATGCATTTTCAGCAAATGATAAACTACTATTTTCAATACTACACTGTACCTCTACATCTCGTATACGCTTCATTTTGTCCGCTAAAAAATAAGCCAAAGAGAAGAAAGGGAGGTTTTAAAGAATCTAACCCAGCTCATCTTGTTCGTGTGACCATTCCTTACCATTACGCTAAGAGAGAATACATTTCTATTTGTTAAAAAAATATCTTACTAAAGCCTTTTCGTGGAACTTTCGTCAGTAAGGGCCGTTTATGGCTGATCAAGCCGTATTTAACACGAATGCAAAACGAAGATATATTTCAAAAAAAAAAAAAACACCGGTGCTTTGACCTGTGTTTTCTTACCCCGCTTTTCGCTCTTCTTTTAAAGCTAATGGTCCAAATCGCTTTTATTTTAAAGTATAAAGGGTTTAGTTTATCGTTTGTCTCACGATTGTCACTTTGATATTGATGGTGACGTTTCGATCGCACACTGCAGGTCTTCATCAGGCGATAGTGTCGATTTACTGAGTCGGACTATTTGTACCACCGTGGTTGTTAATGATTGGTGTATCACGAACCTTGCTCATGGATGGTCACTCATCACAAAACCATCAGTTATCTCTGAGGAAAAGAAGAAGTTATCTTCTGTCCTTGTCTCTAACGGATACCCCTCAGTTCTTAACTAACATCACAAAATCCAAGAACTGGCAGGCATCTGATAAAGAAACCGCAACCGAAATTAAATCTGCAGCGGTTCTGCCATACATCAAAGGTTTGTCTGAACCACTTTGTCGTTGCCTACAACTGCACGCAGTACGATCTGTTTTCAAGTCCGATACAACACTAAGATCGCACTTAGTACGACCTAAGGATCCTGTTGATCCAAAACAATATGGAGTAGTCTATAACATTCCTTGTGAATGCGGCAAAGTATACATGTACATTGAAACCGGAAGGTGCGTGCATGAACGAATTAAGGAGCACGATAGGGATATACGGCTTTCATGAACTCAAACTTCGGCCGTTTCTGAACACGCCAATAAGACCGGGCATTATCTGCTGTGGGACGAAGTTAAGTTTATTGACCGAGACCCTCACTGGTACTATCGTAGAGTTAAAGAAGCTATTCACCTAGAGGCTGTTCACATAAGACTTCACCTTAACAACATCAATAGGGACAGTGAAATTGAGATTCCTGAGGCGTGGATGCCTACAATCAGACAACATAAAAGCCGATCGCTACCACTTTGGACCGCTGAGGGATTCGTTTCCTCCTCTGATAATACCAACAATGCTTTAGATTGAAACCCACCAACCATGAGCGAGGTTCGTGATACACCAGTCACTAACAACCACAGTGGTACAAATAGCCTGACTCAGTAAAATCGCACTATCGCCTGATTTTGCCTAGTACCTAGCCCTCATTATTCCGCGTGTTTCAGGCCTCGTGGTCCGCCCGTTCGCCTCGGATACGTCATCGAAGTGAACTGACTGAGAGGGACTGGGAAAACGCCGTACGGGGACTAGGCAACGCCTGATAAAGACCTGGAGTGTGCGGTCGAAACGTTGCGATCAATATCAAAGTGTCCATCGTGAGACAAACGGTAAACTAAACCCTTTATACACATTATCCACGATGATTTATATCTTTCATGACGCTTCCATTTTTTTAAAGGTACCGCTGCCTTCGAAATTCATCGGTTAAAGCATTTCTAGACCTATGAAAAACCGCCATAGTAACCGGGCCTGGTTTGTGGCGGCTTTTTTTAACTCGCTGCTTTGTTACTAGTCAATTGCGAACGCTTAAATCGATAGAAATATAGCCAAAGCAAAATCACACTTTGCTAGGGTATTCGCTGTTTTTCATAGTGTGTTAAGTATAGCTTTTCAAATACAGTAATTCCAATGATCTAATCCACCGTCATACGGTAGTGATTCCCTTGTTTTTTTCTTTTTGATTGCTATGCTCCTCTGCAGTTGATTCACATAATGTACCCATTTCCAAAAAATGCGAGACTAACAATTAAAAAAGAGATAAGCAGAATAGACAGAGAATAGACAGATAAGACTGAGCAGTAAGCTTTCGTCTAGTATTCGGACGAAATTTGACGATTTTTGTCTGATTTGAAAAAAAATTACAGCAACTACACTAAACTACATCAACTACACCAAACTACACCAACTACACCATACTACACCAAACTACACAAACTACAGCAACTACACCAAACTGCAGCAACTACACCGACTACACCACTGAAACTTCAGCAACTACACCAACTACACCAAACTACAGCAACTACACCAAGTACACAAACTACAGCAACTACAGCGAACTACAGCAACTATACCAACTACATCAAACTACAGCAACTACACTAAACTACAGCAAACTACACCAACTACAGCAAACTACAGCAACTACACCATACTACCAAACTACAACAACTACACCATACTACACCAAACTACAGCAACTACAGCAAACTACAGCAACTACACCAAACTACAGCAACTACAGCAAACTACAGCAACTACACCAACTACATCAAACTACAGCAACTACACTAAACTACAGCAAACTACACCATACTACACCAAACTACACAAACTGCAGCAACTACACCGACTACACCACTGAAAATTCAGCAACTATACCAAACTACAGCAACTACACCAAGTACACAAACTACAGCAACTACACCAAACTACAGCAACTATACCAACTACATCAAACTACAGCAACTACACTAAACTACAGCAAACTACACCAAACTACACCAACTACACCAAACTACACCAACAACACAAACTACAGCAACTACACCAAACCACAGCAACGACAGCAACCATCCCAAACTACAGCAACCACAGCAACTACACTAAACTCCAACTAGAATTTTAAGTGGGCATGAAATGTCTTTATATTCGTGACTGTTATCGTAAATCTATTACCATAAAAACAAACTGGGGACGTAAAATACCTGATTTGCAACTGAAACTGGAATAAAAAGCCATGTAGATTGTGGAACTGTAGGAAAATGTCAGACATGAAGCTTAACTGTTATCTTCCTCTACAGCGACTTTACAACAAACAAAATTAAGTGTGTGCTACGAGATATAATAGTAAATTAAACATTTATTCGTTGTTTTGGAGTTATTAAAAATTCAATAATTGGTTAAGGCAATTCTAGAGCTCCACTCGCACTTGTTGGATATGAGATGATTATAGCTATAGCCAACCCGGCGCTACGTGCCTCGTTGGCTTTCTACCATCTCATATCCAACGCGCCCTCTTGGAATAATAATTGTTAAATATTACCTTTAATCATTTAATCCTTTTCCTATTTCTACTAAAATATGAACTATCATATTTTTGACACAAGAAATGGAGTGGGTTCTGAAACTGAGAAGCAGCGGGGCATTTGTTTAAAGCGTGCGGGAGAGTTTTTTTTGGACAATTGGTATTATAAGTACTCTCACAAAAAAGAGTATTTGTTTTCTCAGAAATTGTAATTGTTATGATTAATTAGTAACCGGACTTTGTGCCGTTCGGTCTGTAATCCTCTTGATTAAGCAAATCGGACTCCTTTTTTTTGTTAATTAACAGGACTGAGTGGAGTCCAATTCGGTCTTTAATCATACAAGTGATAAACAAAATCAATCACAAAATTAATCACGAGTATGATTACAGACCGAATTGGACGACACGAAGTTCTGTTACCAATTAATCATACCTTTAACAAAATTTGTGATATATAAGGCTCTTTTTTAAATCAAAACACAAGAAATTCCAAGATATTATTTTTCTATCAGTGAAAAAAAAAAGAGGCATTTAAACGCGCGCGTGGGTTTTTTGTCTAGGGTGTTCCGTATTGTTAATAAACTTCAAGTATTGTTTTGGTATCATCAGATATTCGAAGATTAATTGTCTTAATTTTGTTAATTTCGCCGGATGGCTAGTCCTTGGTGATTGTCATAAAAACCTACTATTTGAAAAATAAAAATAAAATACAGGTCCTGTTTAACCAAGAAAACTATTTTCTTAGACCCCTGTTGTGTTTTTAACATCTTAAAGGTTGGCGTTTCTGTTTTTGGAACTTATTCCTACTTATTCTATCGATGATACTTAGCTGACTGGCAACCTTTTCGTTCTTCGTAGTTGTTAACATAAATTGAGCAAGACTTCGCGCAGAGTTTTCTTGGGATAAGTTGTCACCAATACATGAAGTCCTGTTACACATTTATGAAGGGAAGATGTCTAATTCGAGTTTAAACGTTATAGATATAATTTTTTTTGGGCCCACGAGAGTGGAGAAATTCGGTTACTGTCTACCATCACAAACCGTTCAGGAATTTATAAAATGGTTAGAACAGCCAAGAGTCGCAACGTTAAAGACACTTATTTCAACCTTTCAGGCAAGCTCAAGATCAAGTACATTAACTAGTTACCCCCGTTTTGAGCGCAAACCGAATTTTATTAATAAATGGTTTTCTCTCTCTGGAGAAGTTGAAGACAGCAACGAACAAGGGAGAATTGTGAACGCCATTAATGTTGATGCGAAAGGCAAGATGGCGAAATGTTATACTAGGCAAGGCGGGAATGAAAATTTTCCAGAGTCACTATCAAATGAGAATTACGAAGTCTTCTTTCACGGCACAACACAAAAAAAGGCTTTGAGCATCATAGGTGGCATTCACTTGGCAAAAGGAAGGAGAAACGGAGACTTCAGCGATGGAAAAGGTTTTTATCTTTGTAAAAACTTTGATTACGCCTTAAACACAATGTGGGCGCGTCAACGACCCCCTAATTCAGCAGTTGTTGTGTTTCAGGTGAATAGAACTGAACTCAGGCATGGCATAATTAATGGTTTAAATTTACAACACGATTTGTCGGGGTGGATAGAGGCTGTCAGCCTTTTCCGCACTCACCTACAAGATACGAAATCTCGAAGAAAGAGCAAAGAAGATGAAAAAATGTTTAAAGACAAAGATAAATTCGATTTTATTGAAGGACCCATATGTAGCGAGGCGCACTGTTTCTCAAACCCTTATCCTATCGATGACTCGTATCAGTTTTGTGTTAAGAGCCAGGTTTGTGCTGAATTGTTTGATCGAAGTCTTCATTCAGTGGTGTTTTTCGACCAAAATTAAGTAGACCGTGCCATATCAAAAATATGCTCTAGATGTAACGGTGACGTGTGTTTTTGACGGAAAGAAAAACTCTTAATGCAAGTCTTGGTTGCTTTTCTATTTGTACAATGATTTTACTTTAGGCCTTTTACATTGCCAGCTGGATTTTTCAGTATACAAAGTAGTTTTTGTAATTATCGTACATGATAAGACTAATAACATAGATTAACATGTGAATAGAAACAGTTCCTGGCCCTTCCACATGGTTTGCACGGGCTTCGAATACTCCGTGAAAAACTGCCAGGTCCTTGAAATACTCCTTGAAGATGATTTTTTTTTCCTTGAAAACGCTTTGAATTAGTAGAAGCAGTGTTTGAGTCCTTGAATTCTTGAGACCACGACAAAATAAGTTCATTTTGACATAAATCGACTAAAGGATCTGCTGAGAAACGCATATGATGTCTCAAACGACGAAACGATTTCTATATTAGGACAGTCTAGTATTGCTTATTTAAAGTATCTAAGTAACTGCCCCTTTAATAGGGTTTCCGAAAACGTTATATTTCAGCCATCCCTTCCCCCTCCCCCAAGCAAACAAAAGCACGAAGAGAATGTAGCTTGATGAAGCGTGAAATTCATTCGACTTTGGTATTAGGATGTTAATTTTACTTACAGGTATTGGTTTGTTAGCATGACTGTGCAAAATAAGTAATACTTGTGACACAATAATGTGAGTGCTTGAGAAAATAAACCCCTTGAATTTTGTTGTTAGGTCCTAGAAAAGTCTTGGAACACAGAGTCCTTGAATAAAAGTTAAAGGGGCTGTGTCACGGCAGTCCAGCTCATTTTGTTTAATTTTGCCAATTACTCGCCCTCAATCGCTATGGAACTTAAAGTAAGCAAAGAAATTACAGGTAAATGACAGAATCAGAGATCCGAGACAAACAAATATGTCTCCTGAGCATTATTTTTGAAGTTGCAAGCAGCAGGGATCAACTTTGAAAAACTGTTGGGCTGAACAGTTTTCAAAAGCCCTAATTTCAATCCGTTTCAATCTTCTTCAGTTTTGGCCATCCGTGGCATCTGTTGTTTCTGTTATGTTTTTTTAACCTTCCTTTAAAGTTTTAAGCGGTTATTTTTATGTTTTCCTTAATTTAACGGGCATTTTGTAATTTCCTAATTTGCCTAAATTTCGTGACACAGCTCCTTTAATGAATTAAACTTGTCTAAGCTATGTTCCAGAATACAAAACTTTTGGAAAAAACTCGGTTATAACTGAAGTAAAAATAGGAGAAAAATTGCAGTTGGTAAAATCAATAAGTTCTTGTCAAAAGCCTTGAGAATTTTCCCCTGTGTTACAACCAGTTGCAAAATAGCTGAGATACTTTCACAGAGCTGAAAACTGGGTTTCTTACTCCAATGCGCCAATGTGGAACAATTCTCACAGGCCGTTTGGAATTCCTCCAACTTTAATTATGGGTAAGGGGGCAGGAATCGTGCGAAGTCCAATAAACATCTTGGCTTTAAAAAGTTAACAATGTCTCTAAGATTTTTGCAACTAGTTGTAAAAGTTTTGATCTTGTTCCAAAAGCATTTTTGACCACATCCCTTTTCTCGGTAGTAAACTTGAACTAGCCCACAGGAAATAATGACGTCATTAAGGATCCGCTTGAATGGGTTTGAGCTTCCAGCGCAACGAATTTTGACATCGTTTGGGTGGAGAAGCATTTATGATTCCATCCACCCAGATGAACCTTGAAATCATCGCACCGAATGCTTGAAACCTTCTCCCAATAGTTTATAGTTATACGCACATTTGCATACGAACACGTTACTTCCAACGGTTATTTGATTTGTTTCAAATCTCAATTAACTTAAATTTTTGTTTAGTTACTAACGGGATATTACTTAACCCGTGAAACAGTATCTAAGAGATGCCAAATAGTCTCAAGTAAGCAATAGAAAACAACGAAATGAAAATGTAACACTTGTGGTGGTCTTTACACCAGAGCCTCAATGAGCTAAGAGATATTTCAAGACAAGTAAATTTTAAATACTTCGAGTAAAATAAAGCTTCACGCACAACTGCTTTTTTACTTCAGGTTAACGTAAGGCTATTTTCCCACGCAACATAATTAAGATTGATTGACATGCTTCGCCTTTCTCAAAACTCAAGAAACCGCAAGTTTGTAGCGCGGTGAGGGTAAAAGGCGGAATGAGTTTGCGGAATGGCATGTGGCATGGCTTGCAGAATGACATAATTGCGCGGAATGTAATATACGCAGAATGACCCAAAGAAATTAATTAAACTGAAAAGTGCGCCCTTTTTGGTGCCAATCAATTTGCAAACCCAGCCGCTGTTTTAAAAAAACTTCGCTGGGTTATTATTTTTCTTAGCGGCATGCAATCGTGTTTTGCTAGCTAAAGTTGTTTTGCTCGACATTTTTGACCAACTTGTTCGATTTTACTAAAACAATTATTCCTCTCGCCCTCATGGCCTCTGAGTCAATAGTCCATGAGGCCGAAGGCCGAATGGGCTATTGACTCAGAGCCCATTCGGGCTCGAGGAATAATAGTTAATTATTATGTTATTTTTCCATGTGATCTTGATTATAGGGCTTCCTATCAGAATCGTTATTTGTTGGAATGTTTGCCTGTTTTTTCTCTTCTCATGTTTTACTACTTAGATTATCTTGCTACAGTAACTTATCGTTACTTATCACCGTCTTTTCATTTATTTCTTCAAATATTGTCTTCATTTAATCTCTCCTTATGTTTCCCCCCAGAACTCATCACTTGATGATCACACCCTCGAACTCAAGATGTCACACAGGAAATCCCCGTAAGTTGCGCGATGCCTAATGATTAAATTTGAAATTGTAGTGTGTCCAGCTGCCAGACTGGTTAAGTCGTTAGAGCAAGAGACTCTTAAACTCAGGGTCGTGGGTTCGAACCACACGTTGGGCGTTTTTTTCTGTGGTCCATTGTTTTTCTTTGTAACTCAACTGGGAAAGTTAAACAGTTCCAGGGTTGTCACTAAGATTTCAAGTTGCCGGGTATTTGTTGTTAGTAGCCGGGGAAGTCGCAAGCAGTCATGGAGCACTTCCCACCTCCCCCAAGAAGGTTTTGAAGTGCAGCTTTTACCGTTTTCGAAAAGGCATTACCGCCCCAAAAAAGCAATCTTCATCAAGAGTACAGCTATCATTAGCGGTTTTATGATGATCACGTCTTTATTAAAGAAAACTACAACATTCTCAGATACTAAAATAATAGTTAAATTACTTTACGTAAAGGCTCGTTGGAGGGCTTTTTTAGTGGCCACCAAATGGGAATATACATGTAAGTACCGGGCCTAAAAAAAAAGGACAGGTTGGCACCGGTCACGTTATCTGCACAGTCTTTTCTTCACGCAGACAAGGCGCATGCTGGCCAGTCAAGTGTTAAATCACAACGATACTTTACAAATGCTAAAAATGTTGAAAGGACAATCGATTCTTATACGGTGCAAATGAATTAACATGCGCTGTAAAATCAATTGTAAATCCTCATTATTTTAGTTATACGTAAGAACGAAACAACTTACGGAAAACAAAAGTGAAACTAATATTGCAAATGAATTAACCCACGCAGAAGCGGAAAGAAGAAAAGCGGACGATGAATGTACGAAAAAGCATCATAAACATAAGGTTACTATGGCTTGTTGAAAAATAAAAGTATCATAAGGCTAAAACAAGCGTAACGCACGCAAAATCGCGGGATAAAATATGGCGAAACTAAACTGCACAACTGGTGACATTAGTGGTCTCGAATTTATGAACGAAACATCACTTAACATACGAAGAAACTGACCTACGGAAAAGCGTTTAAACGACAGGGCTAATACTTTATAAACGACGCTGAGATCTCGAAACGAGACTCAAGGAGAAGAATGTAAAAGTAATGCTAATACTTAACTTCCCTTTTATATATAACTTCTTGGAAGTAGAACTAAGAGCATGTGATCATGGCCTGCGGACAATGATCGAATATTTCCCGTTGACCGTGCGTTATTTTATATACTCGATACCTAAAGCTAAATGTAGACCTGGTCACTTAAATGTCCACATATTAAACGTGGCAATCAGTCATAGTCTTCATCTTCAAAGCCTTCATCATAATCCTAATTATCATCAACATCAGCATCAGGAAGATTTAACCCTCGGATGATACCTCAACTTGTGATGTCAACAGAGATCTGCCCAGGTCTTTCATCGTGAACAAAGAGTGCAGAATCCTTTGCCACTTTTTCGACATGTTCAACACAAACCCTACACAACGGTTGAAACTAGGGACTTTTAGCATCGACAAAGGTGACGGCAGCGAAAACGTCACTTTTAAAAATGAATTGGCGTTTTTTCCAACTTTGTCGCGTTTATTTCAATTCGCTGAAAATAGCTAATGTAGGCCAATTTCCCTGGAGTTGATTTCTTTGGGCGCACTCAAGTTTAGAAAGAGAAAGAAAAGTTTGTCGTCGCTTGTTTTACGTCCTCCATAAAACGTGAAACTAGGCATTTTCACGTCGTAGTCGTGCAGTAACGGCAAAGAAATGTACAAAAAAGCGTGATGCACGTGCAAACTGGTTGCTTTTTTGACGTTCTCGTTGCCGTCGCCGTCGTCGTTGCTTAAACTCCCTACTGACATTTCGCGAACGGAGAGTTTTCGCGCGTGTGTACTAGTACCAAATCTAAGTCAGATGTCTTTTTCCGACGTTTCTTAGTTTTTGAACGCGAGTATTTCTGAATTACTTAAACCTGCTGCAGATGAAACTCGCATTAAGTTTGATGGATAGTCTTTGCGTGTTTCAAAGGTGTCCTCTTTTGGTTTAATTTAACGACGAAAGTAGCCGGGGGCCATGCTCTGAGTAGCCGGGGGAAATCCCCGGCCCCCGGCCCTTAGTGACAACCCTGCAGTTCGTTAAAATACATGACTTTGTTTATTTCATTTTACTTTCAGTGATAAAGTATCACAACGCAAGACAGCCA